GTTGTGCGACAACGTTGATTCACTGTTAAGGATAGGTATATACGTGCTTCCGATAGCGTCATGGGTCGATTCTAAATCATCGATGGGATTATGGTTGGCTCGTTACAGGTGTCCGCTCATTGCTTAGCTAACGTTCATTTCTCCAAGAGAGAATTCATTGGATAAAGGCCGTTTATCTTATTCAAAGAATTATCGGCTTTTTCTACAATTTGTCTTAACCTATGTAACACGTTAATTAATGTAAGAAAAAGACACGCATATTTTATCATGATGTTCAGCTCGTGTTCGAGTGTTTTAAAGACGTCTCACGATATAATTAACATTAAGAGGACGCTTTTTTACTTCCCAGTTGATCGAACGTGCCTTACCTACCAAGCGAGATATCGAACTCGTTTCTTCGTTGATCGACTTGAACGTCATCCCGTCAACTTGATGTTATTAGCATCAAGTAATCATCGTCATTAAAGGAGCGATTATACGTAAACCGTGAAAATCGATTCTTGAAGCGAAAGAAAATTATTCCTCCTTTGTGCATCCCTTGACGTACCGACAATGAACAATGTCGGAAAGAAGATTAATGATCTAACAAATAAGTGATAAAACAAAGAAAAATCATTCGTTATATAATGATCTATATTACAAAAGGATCTTATACTATGATTCCTCGATTTCTTATCTAATTTAAATATAGCCCAGTTTAGACGGGTCTATTTTAGAACAGGTAATTGGTGACGGTGGATCGGGAAATCAGTTCCCGAGTAGCAAACTAAGTAAGTAAGTAACTAAGTAAGTAAGTAAGTAAGTAAGTACTACTGGCATGGATCTTGAAAATGGAGGACGACGCTCTTGGGAAATGTAACGAGAGAGTACGTTGAAACGATACTACGAGTACCAAGATTTAATGGAAAATAATTTATCACCTTATCTTGTCTTCCACTATATTTTCATTAGGAATAACGGAAGTAGTTAATTCTTGCTAGTCCTTTTTAAAATTCATTGAATTTTCATTCGTTGAGAACGCGTTCGAAGTAAATCGACAAATAGGATAATCCAATGTGTCTCATTGTTTAATCGAACTTATTCCTTGCACGATCCTATCTTTATTTCCTTCCTTCCTTCCTTCCTTCCTTCCTTCCTTCCTTCCTTCCACGTCCTTTTTCATTTTCTTATTCTTATTTTTCCTCTTCTTTTCCTTCTTCTTCTGCTTCTTCTTCGTGAAAGCGAAGAGACCGAATACGGGCACACGAGGATATTATTCAAGGATGCGGACGCATAACGATCGGCATCCTTCCACCGAGCGTAAAATCGTGGAATTCCATTGGAGCGCATAATGGTACCGACTTTCAAAGATTCGACACGGCACCCATACCTAAGTTTCGATTTGCGAGACCGCAACAGATCGAAGAGATTACGTGTACCAAAGGAATGGTCAATAGCTCTCTCTTTCTCTCTCTCTCTCTCTCTCTTTTCACATGGTTTTTTTCTTTTTTTACCTTTTCCTTTTCTTTTTTTTTTCTTTTTACTTCATTCGAAGCTTGTACTATAATTGTAAAATATAACATTTCAAGTTAAATATATGTATAGAATTGAATTTAATTAATGAATTTTAATCTAATCGAAGAAAAATCTACCCTTACGAAATTGTAATCATTGGACGATATAGGCTTGGTATTAGATGAAAATAGAATTATTCGTTAGAAAATCTATGCACTTATGTATATTGATTTATTCGTCATTTTTGAAAACACCCACGCACTCTCTCTTTCTCTCTCTCTTTAGTATTTAATACGATGTGCAATCGATTTATATTAATTTCTATGTTATTATAAAAAAAACATCTTGTATATTAGATACATTCGTTTATCCATTTTGTTTCGCTATTAAATTTAAGAAATCATATTATACGATTGCATCTCTAATAACCTCGTCTAGATACATCAGAGTGGTGGAAAATAAGGTTTGTTAAGAATAGAAGCATACCGGGTACCCTTTATGTCACGTCGTAATGTAAATAAATGGCGAATTGCAAATACAAAAGCTCGCGGAAACGAGCTCATTTTAACGATAATAATCATTTTCACGGTCTCTCTGCCTATTTCGCGTTGGAATAGTTCAAATGATTTGAATAGAGGAAGGAAACGAAATCGATTTCTTTTTTTAAAATATAAACGTGGAGACTCTAAAATCTTCAAGATATTCTTCAATTTTTATTTAAGTGTAATCTTAACAAACAAAAGAAAAAACAAAAAAAAAGAAAAAAGAAAAGAAAAAGACAAAAAGCGAGACATAAAAGAAACAACTACAACTTAGAATATCGACGACGATAAGAAACAACGTTTATTTTACAAAAGGGAAAACTTTATTACAACGTGTCCTTCTTTGACGATATAAATAGGAAATAAAATAAGTAAGTATCAATATAAATCCTCTATCATCCTTTTATTACGTTCCATTAAAGGTAGTAGGTAACTATCGTTTCCATAAAACCTTCTGGCTCATCGATAAGCACCGAAACGAAATAATCTCTCGAGATAATCCTCGCGTGTTCATCCTGATATGCGTGTTTACGTAGGTAATGTCGTCATCGATAACTTCCGGTTAGGATAGAGAAGAGAACCGCGCGCAATGGTCGAACTCTAAAGCACTTCGTAAAGTACTATGATGTTTTCGCATTGGCACGACGACGACGTTATCGAAAATATTGCTAGACGATAAAAGTTCTAAGGGAAGAGAGTTTGAATACCGCAAGCCATCATTTTCTTCTCTCTTTCTCTCTCAGATCTTTTCTTAAAGCCATTGGATAAACAACAAAGTTAGAATATACCAAGGAAGCTTGAGATCCTTCCAAGTGACCCGGAAGAAGATGGTTGAACGAGATAGAAAAAAAAAAAGAAAAGGAAAAGAAACAACGAAAAAAGTCGGAAAAAAAATAAATAAATGACAAAAAAAAAAGAGAGAAATAAAAAAAGATAAGATAGACACTCTTTATACTAGGCTCTGAACTATCTCAGTATCTGCTTATAAGGATACGCCGCGATCAGCTGGAGAACGACTCGAAGATCGATGTATCTAGGCGGATAGAGAGAGAAGTAGGCGCTCTTGGTGTTGTGTTATTCCTTTCCTCGTGATCCGAGGTCAGGCTCCCTCGCTCTACGGAAGGCTAGATATTACCCTCCTCGTGTAGCAGATACGATAGAGAGATGATTGTAGCGTGTTTGCCGGGAGTTCCATCGCTTCCAACCGACCTTCCAACCGATCCTGTTGCTTCCTTTCGGCGTAAGACGGATGTAATCAACCACGTAGATTTATTATTTTGACTTATATTATATCCTTTCCCTCCCTTTTGATATTTCGTATATGTATTTTGGAAATATCATTTCTTTCCCATGATTTTTAATTTAATCTCCTCGCGCATTAGTATTCGGTTAACATCAGTGTAATTATTCGTGAATTAAGTTAATTGAACATTTTCTCTTTTAGTTTTATGCGTTTTGTCTTATCTTGGTTAAATTTTATGATATGTATCTACTCGTATATTTATCTACCTACCTAGCTAGATATTTTTTCTCTCTCTCTCTCTCTCTCTCTCTCTCTTTAACTTCTGTAAGAGATAAGAAACAAGCTACACGGAAAAGGATTCGTTTTCACGTTGGGGGTCAGGAAAGGAAGACCGTGGTCAATTTGGCGTGCACGATGCCGCTACGTACTTTATAGATATTTCTCACTGTGCTACACACACTCAGATTTTCTCTATCTCTCTTTCTCTCTCACTGAACAGCTAGCCTAGCTAGACTAGCTAGCTAGCTAGCTAGTCTAGCTAGCTAGCTAGCCGGGTGTCCTGTTCTGTGACCCGTGTAAAGGCTCGAATAAAATCTTTCCCGGTGTTGTTAAAGTTCTTACGAGGTGCCGAGAGAATATATATGAATGTACGTATTCACGCAACGTAGTCGCAAACTTTTCGAATAAATTTCAACTCGAACAAACGAAATCGAACGAACGAAAAGTCGATTTTACAAATAGTTTATCGAACGTCGGTTCTAATCTTACACCGAATCATTTTGATTTTCTACGTGCGAGAACACACGCACACACACACACACACACACACACACCCACGAACATACATATAAACGCATACACGTACGCACACGTACATGCATACACATACATACGTATACCCACATATCTATATACACAGGCTGTATTCGTCGAAGGCGTTACCGAATGTTCAAATAAAACGAAGACAAGTTTTTGGGCAAGTAGAGCAATACTTACGACCAGTCTGCGTCCGCCTTAATGATGCGTTTATCGACCGACAGCACTCGCGAAATATGTACTTATGCTACCAGCTCTTACCAAGAGTTTACGTGCAATTTTGATAACCTCGAGGGTACCTCGTCAATGATTTTTCAACTCCTTCTATCTTTCGTTCTTTTATTTTATTTTCTTCTTTTAAAGTTTCTTTTCTTTTTGTTTTTTTCTTCCTTATTTTTTATTTATTCATTTTTTTTTCTCTTAATTATACGTCAAGAAATTCCATCAACTTTGAATTTATTATATAGGTAGCATTTTAATAATAAACTCGTGGCATGTTTCATGCAACTGCAAAAGTAAAAAACGTTGATTTCATATAATTTTTGAAGGAAATGAAATATATTTATAAGCTTGCTCGAAGTTTTGCATGAATATTATCTATCGAAAAAAATATATTCCTTTGCATTATAATTGCAAGTATAAATTGCAAATTCTCATTTATACGTGTATCCAGATGATACTCCCATTGGTGAGAAATACCACGGTTTTAGTTGTTCGTTTTAGTCTTTATTTTAACACGTAAGCCACTTCCGACGTTTATTTCCATGGTTTCGAGTATAATATTATACATTCTGATTATTTTTAAGTCCCAAGATCATATATTTAACACATCGATATTTTCCAATAATAGATCGAAAAATGATGAATTATTAGATGGGCCATTACGAGGTGACGTCATGCGCATGCGCGGCGATCGTACCCAGACGTCTTGCCGGTGGAATCACCGCCATTTTGGATTTGCGTGTTTCGACAGGTTGCAAGGAAGTGTCGTCGTCCTCGTAATTAAAGGTAATTATCATATTTTTATCTAAGCTAAAGCTTCTTCCAATATATCAATCGATTGCCGAACACGCGATTTATATGAGGCCGTGTTCGCAACTCTGGACATCGCCGGGTTTAAAAGATATTCGCGAAAATAAAATCGGCTTATTGGCGTCCTCACGATACTATTGCGTCATATTCTTTTTTTCCAATTTTCTATTCTTATCCTCGCAATATCAGTACTTTTCTCTCTTTTTAACGACGCTCCAATTAATAATTTTCCATTAATTAGTCGTTATCGATTGTAGTTCGTATACGATTTCGATACCTAGTACATACCATATATATGTATATATACATATCGATACCTGTATGCACACATATACACACACATATATATACACACACCAATTCGTCTATATTATATATATACTATATATGTACACACAATTTATCTTTATCATATATATATATATATATATATATATATATATACACACATACACAAGTGACTTTTTATTTTTAGATTTCCACGAAATTTACGAGGCGAAATACGCACGAAATATATATAGTGGAAATCATTTGTGTCGTATAACTCATACAAGTGTATTTCTTTGAAAGGACATAAAGAGAGGCGTAATAGAGAGAGAAAGAGAGAGAGAGAGAGAGAGATCGATTAAAATCGGCATATAATAACAAACGGGCTATGAATTTCCAGGAATTTCTTCGACCGAGAACGCGACAAAAACAATCGTACGTTCGTACTGTTTAGAAGTCTTCAGTTCTTAAAAGTATTTCGGCATGGATATATGTACGTGTTTGCGAGAACATCGATTAATTTTCTCTGATGTAGATATTTTATTTATATCAATTTTAATATATATATACATATTTAACTTTATTTTTATTTAGTTAATATTATAATTGTATTATTACATAGAGAAAAGTATAGATATTTTTATTATTTCCAGATGATTCCAGGTGAAGTCTATTGGTGCGTTATCTTTCCAGAGCAGGATGCTCATCGTGCGAAGATCAATGAAGACTTAAAGTTAGTAAACTTTTTTTATTAAATATTTCTTCCATAATTTTTAGCAATTGTTTATTTTAACAGTGATACTATTAATTTGAATTTTTATATTTGCAGATCGTCATTGCTATCGTGCGCGATGCAATGAAATAAATCGAGTGTTGCGTAACTAAAATAAAAACAAAAAAGTCGCGAAATAGAAGTGGTGTTTGTTTGTCAATTTGAAATTGTCAGAGTTACGTGATTTAAATTAATTTTTTGGAACGTGTGTACTCGAATCGACTGCGCGCAATGCAGTCTGTTATAGAGTCAATGTTTGTTCGAATAAAGTTTTAGTTTTTCTTTTTTAATTCACACATAAATTGTATTTATATTTGAAGAAAATTAAAATTCGCGAATTAAATTCAGTGCTTGTCTTGTGATTTGTGTTAGTGCATCACGGAAGATGGTCTCCAGTTACAACTATTTCAATTTACGTCGTTGCCTATCTACCTCATTTTCGACTTATTGCAGATCAACCTCCCTCATTTTTGATTTACATCGCGGACGAGTGTTTTGGAGCCATCGCAGAACTTCTTAAGTAGTAAGTAATTTTTTAAGTCCCTCCGGTACTCATCATGCCGAGGATGAAAGGTCCGAATCGGCACGAGTCATTGGTTGTAATCTTTTTCAATAAATTAATTAGACGAGCATGACCGTGAGTAATTCCTCTTTTGGATTTACTCGCAAGTGATACATTTTTATTTGCATATGTTCTCCGTTGTTTATTTATTGTGTATGTTTATTTTTATTAGCTCAGGATAGGGTCTTCTTGTTTAATCGGTTCGAGTCGTTTAATTAAAAGCGCAATTAATTAGCGTTTCTTTTGTTCGTGTTTGCTCGCGTTATTAATGGTGAAATCGGGCATTCATTTACCCCGATTTCGTTGAAAAAAGCATGTTATATGGTTTACCTTACAAGCATTGCTTCGTACATAGTCTATTTAATCGCGATCTGCTTCGATATATCGATTACGATATACTAAGAAATGAACAAGAAGACAAACGCGACGGATAGATTCTGGAAATCAAGTGGTAGAGATCATGATCTTTTTCTCTAATTAAAATAACCACTTGCTAAAAGGAGTCGTCCGAGGTTTCTCATTATTTTTGCATGAAAAATTTGATGATAAAAGAAAAGTTTTATTAAAGTTATTGGCTTTGAAAGTCGAGTAGAGTAATTACTAAAAAAACAAAAAGACTAGTAGATTCATAGTCCGTAGATCTAGATTGTAAGCTAATCATTTTTAGCTCAGGATTTTCAGAAATTAATATACTAATTCCCGTTTCTCCACCCGTACTTTCTGCGTTCTCATTTATACGTGTGCCCAGGTGTTACTCGCATGAGTGAGAAACAGTTAGCACGGTTTTAGTTTTAAGTTCCCCCTTATTAGCGACTGTTATTGCGTTAGTGATTGTGCACGATGTACTTTACACTTGTATGTGCGTGTTAGGTAGTGAATTGTACATCGTTACGCGAAATTCTTAATCTCTTATATATTATGTAGAAAACATTCTATTATTACTAGTATTGTTATATACTAAAATCTAGCAATATTTATATTAAAAATAATACCTTATATAATGAAATATTGAACCGTTTTGAATATTAAATTAATTATATGATAATGCATAAAATAATACTCGTATGTTACTAGTATGTTTACATACTAGTACGTACTAGTATTTATATTGAAAGTAGAGCTTTACGCAATGGTCACTAAATCTAACAGTCGATTTCAGCAAATTGGTACGTACCCTTGATTAATTAAAAATCATACGCGTTTGAGCTAGAGTGTCGGAGATGCCCCGGGGCATACTCTCTAGTGTAGGCTTTTTGCACCCTGGCGGAATGTGAGAGAATCGTGGAGTGTATGTGTTGGAACGAATGTTTTGCTATTTTTAAATATAGTTATAGGTAGGCAGGTAGCATATTTTTCTGTGTGAATGTGTATTTAATATTAAGAAGGTAGGACCGGGTAAGACGGAGGATGTAATTTCCACGTAGGAGTGGAAAGTTCCGTTTCCGGTTATTATGCAAAGTTTCAGCAAATTGTACAATTATTCAGCATGTCTGTTCTTTTCCATACTTTGCTGATGCTCTGTATTGCAAGATATATCAGTATCAAACAGTTTAAAAGTCTTTTCATTTTTTAAAAAATTTCTTTCTTTCGAATTGGCAAAGATTTTTGAACATGTCGGATACTTAGTATTAAATATATTAACACTTCGCATAATATACATAAAGAATATGTAATTTATTATAAAAAAATTAAAGGTACAAAATAAAAGTGGTCAAGTAAAAAAGTGAGATTATAAGATGTATTATAGATTTTTTAGTTTTATTCGACAATATTTAATTTTTCTATCGCGAAGTGTTAGTAATAGGTTCGTCAATTAGATGAAATATCTGCTGAGGCATTCGAGTAAATGTGCCTGTGTAGTAGATGCTCACGATTGATAAATTTTTTTGATCCATTGATCGTCCACAGGCTAGTCTAGTTCATGATGTATAATAACTTTTTATTTTTAATTTTTTTTTGCGTAGCACTTAGAGAATGCCTTTAATGCAAGTGGTTAGGGCACGAAGCAAAGAAGAGGCTATATGCCGAAGAGGCCCCCACAAACTGTGGCTCAAGAGGGCAACTATCGATTACGAGTCATTTCGAGAAAGACCATTCATATTTGGTCTTATCGAGAACGAATCGTGATCTTATTATATAATATATTTATTAATTTATCACGTTGGTCATTTTGCTCGTCAATAGTAATTGTTATAAATTGGAAATGATGGTCAATCTCATTGGCACACGTAAAACATGTGCTTCGATCATTTAATAGATGAACAATTTATATTTTTCATACATATAATTCGGTTCGCATAAAAATTATTTATTAGCGCCTTTAATTGGCAGCTCTCTGTTTCTTTCTTTTCTTTTCTTTTCTTTTTCTTTTATACATAAATTTGCATTTCTGAAGGCAAGTCTTAAATTAATTGTCTTGAATTATTTGATTAATAATCAATGTACCATAAGTACCTACGTATGCATTTGCGAGAATGCATTGAAATTTTCTTTTCTTTCTTTCTTTTTTTTTTTTATTTCTTTTCTTTTTTTTTTCCTCCTCTTTTCAATTCAAACGTCAATTAAATCAAGGCACTGTAGTAATGAATTCAGCCTTTTTGAATACGATTGAAAGTCATGTCCCTGTATCTACCCACCCTACTTTGATCGTGACGTTATTAATGCTTTCGCTCTTGGGTAACGTTTCGAGCAAGTAGTTGGCGTTGTTTCTCGGATGAAATGAATTAATAATTAAAAGGACGTCCGTCGTAGACGTTATAATAACAGAGCAGCATACACCTACGTACAAGAACAAGGTTCGTGATAACCAGTAACAACTTGCCCAGAATTTTTACAGTCGGATCGACGGGTTTTGAGTTCAAATACTTGCACGAAAGCATTCGTATAGATTGCTTATGAGAGAGAATTGCTTGTAGGAGAATGGAGAATACAACGGAGTTATTTTCTATCTCTCTCTCTCTCTCTCTCCCTCTCTCTCTTTCTGTTTTTATCTCTTTCTCTTTCTTCTTTTTCTTCATCTTGCGTGGTGTTGAACCCACCTACCTAGCGACCCAGCTACCTACCTACGCTTGTTGTACATATAAGCGTGAAACACCGAGTAGATATTATACATATAGAGTGAATATAAGTATGTGTATGTATATATATATATATATGAAACGAGCTCGCGGCTCGTACTGTCCATTGGTAGATGGCTTGCGTTCGTTCGCTCGGTAACTCCGCGATGCACTTTATCTCGAGTTATCTTCACCGGACGAAGAATCGTAAATTCGAACTCGAAGGCGAACTTGTGCGTACGTATAATGCTCGCTCGCTCGCTCCTGAGATTTATTTCCTCTCTTGCGTCGCATTTTGCGGAAGGCGTAAATTGCACGCTTTTCCACGACACCACCCACGCATTATAATACACCGGAATATAATATTTTTTTTAATGCGATGATATTATCATCAATCATATTTTTGACATTTAATCGATTCTTAAATTATGATTTTCATTCGTTTTAACGAATGTTCAATGCACAACATTTAAAACGTAGAATAATTGGAATAAATAGATTTAGGAAATGCATAATATTGTTAAAAATTTATAATAATATGAAAAATCAAAAATATTGTTAGATATCTTGTGGTATTCAATCATTCGTCTTTTTCTTTCATTATAATATTATTCCCTCGGATATGATTTATCATATATTTTTTCTCTTTTTTTTCTTTTTTTTTTTTTATTGTCTTTTTTCAATTCTATAAATAACTTTCAAGTCTAATAATCTAAAACTCATTTATTCTATTTAAAAATATCTATTCAAAGATAGACAAAGGATTTAGTATCCGCGGCATGCAAGACATCATCACACTCGCTTCGTCGAATATCGAGTATGCCACTTATGGAGAGCCTTAATACATCACCCACGCAGCTCTCTACTCGATTCATCTTTCCATCATATTTGACGTAGAAAATTACCAAAGTCATGGCATTAACACGTACGGACTTGAGTTGAACGTGTGTATTCATTTAATTTCCGGACTTGGGTGATAAGGTGTGATATCTCTCACGGAAATAGAAAGAGAGAAAGAGAGAAATAGGGATAGGGGGCTAAGAGAACTGTCTAACAAGAACAGAATGGGAAATGCAAGAAGAACCTTGAGAAAGTGTTAGGAAAAGGATAAAAATCATATAAAATGGAATAAGAAGGATAAATGTTATAGTCCGTACGTGTAAGAAGAATTTCAAAGGTGGATATTGGATAAAAATCGACATGGTTCACGGGAACCAGTAGAAAATGTATGATCATGTTCTCGACATTCCACGAAGTATTCCATAAGGTTATGTTAAAGTAAAGAAGGGGAGCCGCTACGAGAACAGAAATTTTATCGGCCGGAATTTCTTCGTTTCTTTCTCTCGAACGAGCTTGCCATTTTCTTGCGAAACTTTCGAAACGAATGATGGACAGTCTAGTACAGATATCTACTACGGTTGAAAAATTTATACCTACATATATCTATAGTAACAGACTGTATAATAATTCACTAGAAAATTTATACCTATATCTATAGTAAAACACTGTATAATACATGTGTGAACTAGACCGTGTAGGTACACAAAAAATGCGAGGAAATTCATACGTTCTACAAATCACTCTTCGATGGTTACTTGTAATAAGATATACGTTTCAATGTAACAGACAGAGACAGAAAGAGAGAGAGAGAGAGAGAGAGAGAGAGAGAAAGAGGGAGGGAGAAAAATAATAGAGTCACGTGAGCCGGAAGGTTTTGTTTACGGCATAGGACAGAATCCCACGAAGAGGAAGGCGCCTAAAGAAGAAGAAGAAGAAGAAGAAGAAGAAGAAGAAGAAGAAGAAAAAGAAGAAGAAAAAGAAGAAAAAAAAAGGAAAGGAAAGAAGGACAGGAGATCGGATGGTAGGTGATCTTCCATCTTTCTCTATCAGATAGGAAAAGAGTGAGTAAGTGAAAGAGAAAGAGAAAGAGAGAATGACAAGAAGTACAGGCGATTCCACGCGTCGTGAACGTGACTTGCAGAACGACGTGGGAAGGAAAAAGGAGAAAAGATGAGACGACACTCTCGTGTCGCTCGTATTACGATTAGCTTTGCAAATATTATCTCTTTCTCTCTTTCTCTTTCATCCCTCTCCCCACTCTCTTTCTCCCCCCCCCCTCTCTCTCTCTCTCTCTCTTTCTCTCTCTTTCTCTACATCTATCTCTTTCTTCTTTTTTTTTTAAAGATCCTTTTCCCCGAACAAAAGGGCACACGGAATGCAGGTCGAGCGCCGGCTTCGCATTAACGCCGTTTCAACAGGCGTAAAAATGACAAGAAAAAGAGAGAAAGAGAGAATATGTGCATTCAGTCCATTGCCGAGTTGCATTAGCGGTTAAGGCGTTTATTACTGCTTTCAGAGACGATCTCCAATTGCAATTTAAGTGAATTCCTTCGATCTATCAACTTTTATTTTACTTCCGTTCTCTTACAAAACTACTGCTCGCAGAGTAAAGTAATTTACTATTTCATCTATGATAGATAAATAAATTATAATTATTGCTCGTATCGTAATATCTATTAAAACTTTATGAGGGATTTATAAATGAAGAGGAGAAAAAAAAAAAAGAAGAAGTTAATTATCTATCAAATTAATTATTTACTTTCATATAATCATATAATTAAGAGTATTCTTTAAAGGTTGAAAAAGTTGTGTTTATTTCAATATGCCATTTAAAATTTCTTTTTCTCATGTAATAACCACGGATATTGAAAACTCTTAAATGTTGTCATAAAAAAGTTTATTATTATGGATAAAGTATCGTACTCGGTATATCACTTTTTATTTTATAAACGAAGCGAACAAAAAAAAAAAAAAAGCCGAACGCGATTAAAAGATCATTACTATTACTGAAATTGCATGGAAATGGAGACTTTTTCTTTTCTTTTTTTTTTTCGTTTCTTTTCTTTTTCTTTTTTTAGAATTTAAAAGATTCGCTTGGGATGAAATTTTCTAAAGGTTAAAGGAGATGTTTAATCTTTGAAAAAAAAAAACACAATCGTGTTATCGTCGATATCACTTGAAGTCCTATTGATGCCGCGAAGAAAAAAGTGAGCGATTGTTAAAAGTTTACCGGGTTAAATTTTTACACAGAACACGCACACACGCACACCAGTCTTTTTAATATTAATCGCCGTGAAGTTTACGATCTATCAAAGTTTCGAAAGAGCCCCCCGAAGAAAATTGGGTCGCGCGTGGAAGTTGAAATGGCCGTTACCTCGGTTGCATTCATAGCGGAAAGTTCTCTTTATGCTCGCATTAAAACTGATTTAACGCCTTACCGACGAGCTACGTTTTAAACACAAGACCAAGAGGAAGTTTTATAAAGTGCAAATTGAATGTAAGCTTTTAGGCATCGATCCAAGATGCTAACGTAGAAAATCGAAGATGAAATTAAATTTTTTTCTTTTTTTTTTTTTGGATTTAATTGAAATTTTTTGTTT